TCTGTATCAGTAGAGGATAAAAGTGAAGAGGTGAGCACTTCATTAGATGGCTATGAAAGGCAGTAAATAGGCTATTTACAGCACAGGACCACATTTCTGATGCGGTGGCAAGACCAGCCACTGGGTTTCTCCTCTCTACAAACAAATTTACAGCTGAACTATCTAGGCCTGTTATGCAGAGAAAGTTTCAGGGCTACAGGCTGTGAGTTTAAAACAAGGTTGCATCGTTATGCCAATTTGTGTGAGAAGTCATCCTACAGCAGACTTCTGCTATATGGGATGAGAGGTGCTGGGCAGGGACAGATAGAGAGAAGAGGAAGCTCCTAGTGAAGGAAGGGATAGCTTGGCAGTGGTTTCTCCATCCTTCCTCTTACCCCAGCGAAGCCATTCCCTGCTGAGTGGCTTTCTTACAGCAGCAAAGCTTCTGCCCTGCTGTTTCTCCTGGCCTCCTTGGGAAGGAGACCCTGGGCAGGAGGCATAATTCCCAGCTCTCCTCGAGGGTGTTTGCTCTTTGGCAGAGCAGAAGGGACTGTCCTCCAGCCCCAAAGAAGAGCCCCTCTGAGCTGTTCTAGAGGACCAGATCTCTCTGTGGCAGCAGATTTGAGGTCGATTGAAGATGTCCATTTGCTTGGTCATGTTAGCCATAGAAAACTTGATGAAAATGCTCTAGCATGCTTTTAAACTCCAAATGTGCAATAGGATTTGTAACACCTAATGCAGGGACCACAGGAGAGTCTCAGAAGCAGAGCGAGTTCCCAGGCTCTAGTAGGTCTGTGGTGATGCCTTGGGCAGCAAGCCACGTTCTCACCAGGGCTGTGATTTATAAATGAAACATCTCAGCAGTGCAGATCAGATTCAGGGCTGGCTTCAGCTTCTGCTGCGTTATTCATAAGTATGTGAAAGCTCTGAAAAATGTGACAGACTTTGGGTTACGTTCTCAACACAACATTACTTCTCATGAGATGAAATATGAGTGTGTCCCTGTTAAGATAGGAATGTATACACTGGAAGCTGTGAGATAATGGCATATATAAAGGGAAAGTGAAGTCTTTGGTGATCTGCTTTTGGTGGGTTTGTTTTCACTTCCCTCCCAAGAGAAGCACTTTGCTAGCAAGCTACAAGCACTCGCAGCCACGGCAATGTGGTTCAAATCAGTTTGAAAATGTCTTGCCCCAGAGTTGCTTTTGCATTGAGGTTTTGCAAGGTTGCTTGCTTGTGAGTGTGGTGGATTAGGACCCCCTCCACGACTCCTGGAGCAGTCACACCAGCAGCCCTGAGTCTCTGCTTTGCCAAAGTGAACACTCAATTAAGATGTCAGCTGAAAATTTGGCTCACGTTCCCTTTTTAAGCAGCGTGCTCTGCCCTCTCAGGTAATGATCTGCAGGGGCTCAGCACCACTCCTAAATCCCTAAAAGCATTTTGGCCTGGTTGCTGTGGGTGACTGGGGCTGTGTGGGCCAGAAAGAGGTTGCTCCAGTGCCCTCAGGGTTGGGAGGAGGAGTAAGGGAAAAGGCAGGCATGCTCAGAGCCTCTGAGGGTTGTGTGTGTCTGGGAGAAGACAGCATGGCAGGGCCAGAAGTTCTATTAAATACTCATAAGCCTCTGTATTTTTCTAACGGGAAAGGATTTGGTCCTATTTTCTGATAAATAAGTGGGAGTTTTCCTGTTGGTTTCCATGAGAGCTGGTCTGAGAGTGCAGTTTATACAAAGGGAACTGCTATGCACGTGAGCTTTTTGTCCACCTGGGCTTGTGTTATTATATTAATCTGTAATTGCTTTGTGTTAAAGGAACATGGGGGTCCTGAGCCTCTGGTCCAGCCTTCCCCACATCCCCATGTACATAGCAACTGACCTCTGCTTTTTAATGCTCCATTCACAAATATACACCTGGAATAGCACTCTGGCAGGGGACAAAGAAAGCCCAGATGTGCACCAGGCTGTCCCAGCTCTGCATGTGCTGGGTGAGATGTGATGCATCTTGTGACTGCTTCTAGCAAGCAGGTCTGTCTGGCCATGGCCATGCCGAGGAATCTGGTCTGAGTGCTTGTCTCGGCTGTTTCCAGTCGGCATATGAGGTGTAGCTGGGTGTGCAGCATCCCCAGCGTCTGCACCTCCAAACCCCTAGTGCCTGGGGCATGCGGTGCCAGGTGGGAACAGTGGTACAGCCTTGAAGGTGCCTCACCTGGGTGTTGAGGGACCCAGCCCTGGGCTGTGCTGTGGCTCACTTGGCAGCCAAGCGGCACAACTGCTGGCGCCTGCTGCAGATGTGCAAATAGCATCTGTATGGATCCTGCTGCTGTGTCCAGAGCGTGTGTGATGGTGCAGCTTCAAACACCAACTAATGAGGACAGTACTATCTACTCTGCATTAGCCAGCTGGCTGGGAGAGCTTCTCTATGCCTCTTTTTTTTTCCTGGGGAGAAGATCGTAGTAGCTGGCAATGCTTTTTTTCAGTTGTCAGTGGAGAGGTGCCTATATTCAAGAGTGAAATACTATTGCTCTTGTACAGTCCTGGTTTTGGTAAAACAAGATGGGTTTGAAGTAAATACAGAGTTCCTTTGTCAAACGCACATAACAGCTGAAATGTATATGAAGTGCTATAAGTAATCTTCTACCTTTCTGAAGAAATGTTTTCTTTACTGAAAACTTGCAATGGATTCCTGCAGCATTAGTTGGATATGTGACAGCGAGATCATTTAAAAGGTCACCATTGGTTTGAAATGAAGGCAGTGAAAAATGAGTGTCTTGTACTAAAACTGTTCCTGGAGATTGTTGGCCAAGTGTTGTCATCTCACTTTTCTATTTTCAAAACTTTCTGGTCAGCTGCTATGTGACCCTTCCCTCCACACCCACAACAGAAAAAAACCTTACTGATTAGAAACAGGAAATAATAAAACTCACTAACCACAAAGTATTTTCAAATGCACAAAGTAAACAAGCAGAGATGGTGAGAAATACGTATTTCCCACTGATCTCTTTTCAGCACAGTAACCATAGCCGATAATTATAGTCACCGGGGATTTACAGCTTTTAGGGGGAAAGTACGTTTTTAAGTTGATGCTGTCAAACCATAGTAAAATATTTTCATCACAGGCTCTCCCAGCATAACAATGAGATGGCCACTGGTGCCATGAGATGCATGACTGGCACCATGTAGAAGTCAATGAAAGCTTCAGGCTCCACCTGCTCCTCTTGCCTGCCCCACTGGTGTGCAGACCCCTCACTGGGCAATGGAGGTTCCTCTGGTGGGTGCAGCCATGCTGGCTGGTGTGGCACGGGGGCATTATCTAAACTCAGCAATGTGCATGATAATAAACTGGGAAGGTCTCTAAGGTCTTTCCTCTTCCAGGATTTTGCAGTTAGCTTTGCCTGAATGTTTTCCCTGCCCATGAGTATTCTGTGCACTTTGCTGCAGCTGCTTGCTCGGGCTGGCCCTGGCTCCCACCCTCATCTGGATTTTTGTGGCAGGATCATTTGGATGTATTTTCTGTATTGGTGGTCACTCCAAAGGTTCCCATCAGCAAAGATGGAAGTTCTGATTTTCAGGCAGAGGGTGGAAACTGAGGTTGTAGTAAGATTTGTACACATCTGTGTTTTTACCTTCCTTCTGACCTCACAGCTGAAGAAACCTGCTGTGCCTCTGCACAGCCATGTGTAGGCCAGTTGTTTCTCCTACCACCCTTATGCCACCACTCCTAATGCCTTTTCAAGAGGGCTGGATAAAAGGGAAAGCTTCAGAGAAGAAGATGCTAAACCCAGAGGTGATGTTTTTCACTCCTTCGGCACATCATCAAATAGATCTCGCTGCATAATGAACCCCTCTGAACTACGGGTCTATTAATTAGTATGCGTGGTGTTTGTTTAAGAGCTCCCTGCTCTTTTATTTTAACTGTGAGGAACTTTTAACTGCCTTTAAGATGAAAAACTGGGACCAAATGTTGCCAACAAGCTGAGCAGATTTGTCCCAGTCTCCTTAGTCCAATTTGCAGGGAATTTTACCCTGCCCATGTAAGTAAAAGCTAAAGCATTGATCTGGGCTGGTAAAACCCAATTCCTCTTTTCTTTCATAACTTTTTAAGTGTTGCTGTGATCGAGGTGATTCTGTGTGTGTGTGCATGAGTGGTGCACGCTGCTTTTTCTACAAAGCATCAGAGGCAAAAACCAAACCATCTCTTTCAACCACATTCAGGAAAAAAAAGTTTGTGAAAGAAGAAAACTAAAGCAGATCCCCAAGTACTGTTTATTCAGAGTAGGTAAGACAAAGCTGGGAGAAATATCAGTTGTTATCTTCCAAAAGTTTATTTAGAACTTTTAGTTAAGGAAACAAAAAATAATCCCTAAATATAACTATATGTAACATCTATCTACACACATAGCTCACTAGTTTAATACCAGGATGTCCAGGTGGCTGGGAACAGCACAATGAGAGTGAGCAATCCAGAGAGCATTTCTAAACAGCCTAAAATGTCCAAATCAAGTCTCTCCCTTTCTCTCTTTTTTTTTTTTTTTTTTAATCACTGCAGCATTTTTACAGGAATTTGAACTGGAATCTCTAACAGCTGCACAGGGATAATAGTAAAACTAAAAAAGCAAAAGAGATAGATAGGCCGTTTACCCCTTTACCCAACGAAGTGATCTCAGTGGCTTATGCAAGATCTGAAAGGTAAGCTTAATGCCAGAGAGGGTCGTTGCTTGTTGTCTTGTACTTTTATTAACAGGAAGTTAATTCTTTTAAGAATGTGAGACAAGAAAGCTATATAATTAATATACACTAAAGAGCATGAGAGGATTCTATACAATAATTTAGATGTATTAAATAAATAAAAAATAATAGCAGCCTTCTACAATGCAGGCTACACATAGGCTTACTTCGGCTTGAAGTACCCTGGTCTTTAGTACACCTACAGGAACAGACTTGTTCCACAAGTGTTTTAAAGAAACATATCTATAAGATACATATGTAACAGTGTCTAAGGTTAGGGTAAACATTTTAAAACCCACTTTACCACGGTCTCCACATATCTAATGACCCCATTCTAGGGTTGTTATGGGAAAAATTTGGCTGCAGGACCTGTCTGGGAGGTGCAGCATCAACCTGGCTGAAAACTGAGAGTGACGGCAGCTGGAAGCAATTTTTCAAAGCCTGCTTGTTCTCCGTGAGGTAGAAGCGTTCCTGTGATGGGTTTGTGCCCCGAGTGCTCCCCTTAGGGCTCGGGGGGCTTTTTGGTGTCAAGGGAGGCTGCTGAGAGGGGCTTGAAGACCTTAATGCTGCTTTGCAGGTGTCTTCACCAGACCTGGGTAAGGATTTCAGCAGGTGGTTTAACAGACGCGCACCGAGGGTCTTGTCCATCCACTCGCAGGTGAGGAGGAGGTTGTGCACCTCGTGCATGCACTGGATGTACCCAGTGCTGTACCTCTGCTGGGCTTCCAGGCCCACCTTGGAGTCAGCTGCATTGGAGAGGAGACAAGGGGAGTTGGTGAGTGGATAAAAGCTGTCCACTCAGTGTTCCTGCTTCAAAGTATTCACCAGGTTTCCTACGTGCACGGGCTCCTGGGGGGCTTGATGCTGAAGCCAACTGGGCTGTACCATATGGTGACTGGTTTGCAGGGGGAAGGCGATGCAGGGTGTGAGCCACCAGGCAGGCAGCCCCCACGTCCTGCTGCCACCACCAAGAGCAAAACTGGACCAAAAAGCAGAAAGCAGCTCTGGAAGGCAAAGAAACCTTCCGTAGGTTCACCAGTGCCCAGCTCCATCTCCCCATCTAGTGGAGAAAGCCAAACCCCAGCAGCAGCCCGGGCCTCCCCAGGTTTGAAAGATGGTTTTTCAAGCTGCCAGGGGATTAAACCCGCAGGTCCCCTCCTGCCCCAGGGCTGCCCACGCTCGAAGACTGGGGACTGGGCACTCACCCATCAGCTTGCTGCTCTGGATGTTCTGGAGGTGCTTCACCGTCATTTCCAGGATGTCTGCTTTTTCCAGTTTAGACTG